CCCAGAGCCCAGCATTGTCACTGACCACGGACATCTACAGCTTGCTACTCACAACGCAACAAGTGTACGGAGTCTACACTGACAGATCCTCCCTGCCAGCCCTCCAGGACCAGAAGGACGTAGACTGATGACGTTCGTCTCTCTCCGTGTCCCTCACCAAGCGATTCCTGCCGCCGCCGCCATGCAGCAAGAAGGCCTTCGCTTTGTGGCCCCTTGAAAGTGGAGGGGCCGCTTTCAACATTACTCTCCCCTCTTGTTCAGAATTCCCATTTCTTCATCTTACTCAGAATCTAAACCACGATCCCATGCAGCGCTCAAAGCACAGACGCTGCCCTGCTCAGGTTCTGCTCAGCTCCGTAGAGAGGGGGTTGACCAGTTGACTTATTGCAGACCCAAAAGGCAGGCCACCTTCAAGCGGTGTCACCAAAGGGAGCTAGGGATTGCTTTAGATAAAGAACAAAAGGAGAGGGGTGCTGAATTGGAAGTCCTCCTCCTCTGACAGGAGAGGAGAGGTGTGGCTAAGGGCGGCTTTCAACGACCCATCCAGACAAGAAGGAGGCTGCTATCTTGGGATATGGTCTATAGTGCTAGAACCTAGAAGGACTAGGATGTCTTAGGAGTATTACTACTGACTCTGCACAGACACTGCAAGGCCATCTTATTGGACATAGTGAGGTTCCCAGTGCTCAGTGTTGCTGAGAACTAATGCATTTGCCTATCTGGCGGTGCTTCCTGGGAGCACATCCATATTCAGTTTCCCAGGTCCTCTAGAACTCTAGGCGGCACTTGACACATCTTTAGCACAAGGCAACCAACCCCCACGGCTTGACATCTTCCTGTCTCTCCTGCCCTGTCTTCACCTAACTCCCCGAGTCCCTGTCCACCTGTCCCCACAGAATCGAGCCTTGGGCTTGAAAGTCTCCCTCTGCTAAAGCTTCTTTAACTTCAGAGGTTGAGAAACAAGGGCAGGGTTCACCCATCCTTCTTGGTCCCCCGAGACAGGCCGTGGAGCTGGGCCAGAGCCCCAGAGATCCAAATGAGGAAATGTCAAGGCACCCTTGGGGAGACTCAGGTCACTTTGCCAACATTGGCCAAGATCCGAGCCAAAGGGCATGAAGACACAGGCTTCCTGTGGACAGTGTCCCCAAGGATTTGCACTCCTGACCAGTTGACAAAGTCCTGAAGCTCCCGCTTGGGGAGGGGAGGGCTGGCTTTCTGTGTAGCCTGGCACCAGCCTAACAGGCCTGGCAAGCAGCCAAGCGTGGATTTCAAGGCCCCCGAGTGCCCATGTTTGTCTTTCTGCTCAATTTCAAGAGCTCAGCAATGTGTCCATTTCAAAATAATGGTCACAATGCTCTTTGGTAAGACACAGAGACTGGAATCCATGTCAAAGTCCAGTAGAACAAAGCATCCTAAGAGGACGCAGTTTTGAGTGATGACTGGTGCAGAAAGAATGGAATCTAGTCGAGGACCCCCCAAAGATGCCTTAAGCACCTCCATGAGGATGGGAAGACGCTGGGATTGGAAGAGCTGATGAGGGGGGTGATCGGAGCTTCGTGGGTTTTGCAAAACTGGCGTTCGGCTTGTCCTGGTTACCAGACAGTGAAAAGAGCAGCATTTGGACTTTCAGTTACCTCCCGATGCTGAGGACTTGGTGAATATGTTTGGTTGCTGAAATGTCCCAATGAAGCAAGACAGAAAATAGGACAAAAAGCGCTGGCAGAAACACAGCCTTTCTCACAGCTGCAGCAATGAAAGATGAGTCCCAGGACACCCTTACCCTGGCCCACCCTCTTCCCCCCATGGGGCCCTGGAAGGATGCAGGAAGCAGGGATCAGCAACAGCTTGGGAACAGGAGACATCTCTGCCCCCTCCCCGAAAGGCTCCTCCTGTCAGTGCACCGTAGTTACGAGGCACACCATGTCTGTCTCACTGAGAAAGAAATACCGAAAAAAACCTAACTCTTTCTAATTAAGGGTGCCAGGTAACCAGGCACCTAGGCACATGGGTATCTGGCACCTAACTATCTGTTTCTTTCCCTCCTCTTAGGAAAATGCCAACTTCCCAGCCACACATTGACATCCCTGGCAAAAACAGCCTTAGTATCCCACCTGGAACCAACAGGAAACAAAGCCAGAGGAGAAATTTGCCTATTGGGATCACAAGGCTTTGAATGCCATCAGTCATGTGGAAAATGCTGAGCTGAGCCTTGGCAGCACCCCCTAAAACCTTCACACAAACAATAAAAGGATGCCCAGAGCCTCCAGGCCTATGTGGCTCAGGACCACTCACTGAAAAGCCAGACACTGGCCTGCTCCAGTGGCCCTAATGAGGACCAGGCGACCACGGATGAATGCGATCACGCTGGGTTCGTTGAATCTGAGGATTCTGCTGAGCCTGGAATGAACACATCTACAAACAAGCAAGTCTGTCTGTCCAGGAGCTGGAAAGAACGGGATGTGGAGAAGGCGGGGGTTTAGTGCTGCCATCGATTACTTTCGGCTCTCAGAGAGCCGAGGACTATGCTTGGACGCACAACTTCGAGCATCTGGAGGAGACTTTGGACAGCATCTGAAGTCCTCTGGATAAATCAAGGTCATCTGGACCAACCAAGCCAGGCCAGATGGAGGCTTTAATCCATAGCATGCAAACGGGTTGAAGGCCCGTGTCAGCTCTCCTGCCTCTTGATGCCCTCCTGCTGGCCCACCCCCTCTACTAGATACCAACAACAGCTACTTAGGGTCCATCTTCCCTGGCTAGACACACCGCAGAAAAGGGCCTGACCCACCGTCTTTGCTCATGGCTGCAGGGATGGCTCAGCTGGTCAAGCGCTTGCCCAGATCTCATATAAAAAGCAAAACATAGGAGTGAATGCTTTTCTCCACAGGGCTGGGGAGATAGATGACCTCTAGGGTCTTCGGGTCAGCCAGCTTAGCCTAAAGGCTGAGCCCTAGATCCAGTGAGAAAATTTGTCTCGGAAATAAGACAGACTGAGTTCCTGAGGAATCACACTCCAGGATGTCTGTCTAGCTCCCACACCCACACACATGCATGCATCCATGTATACATGTGCACCAACACACACACACACACACAAGTCCAAACTTACATTGTAACAGGAGGGCATGGTTTCTGATAGAGGCAGCGTCCTTACTACAGAAACCGAAGGATTAGCTAGCAGAGGGAAGCAGGAATCACAGTGGTCCAAAACACTTAAGAGGAGGACATGGGAGGCGGGTCCTGCCCCATCCCTGACTCTTCTTGGGGCTTCGGGCTTTGGCCTCCATGTGTTAGTCTTAGCTTCCTTGTTTGTATAACGTGAGACACAGCTAAGATAATTAGGATATGCCTTCTGTCTTGACTAGTCCATGGGCCACGGGCCATTGAGAATGCTTTGGTCCCAAGGACAGGGACCTGCTGGTTCCTGGGGACAACATGCTGGTCTCAAGCTGTTGTTCTCAACTTGCCATTGGGAACACCGTGGAGATATAGCGATAGTTTGGTACTTCACAGGGTGGAGCTTTCCTGATGCCCTGAGGGAGGCCACTGGAAAAATAGACTACCCTGCCCAAGCGGCTGGAGTCCCTAGTCAAGCCCCAGTCCCCTCTGAGGTCCGTCAGTTGTCATAGCAGAGCTGCTATCTACAGCAGCTCTCTCCTGACCTCACATAGATACCCCAAAGGTGCTTCATAAACCCCGTGGACCAGACTGGAAGTCTAGGCCACAAATGCCCACCCCTTGTTAGTCATTAGTTTTGTGGATTTGGGTTTTCTTCCAGGTGAGAAGAATTTGAGTGTCTGGGGCTGAGTTGTTGTTGTTGTTTTAAAGTCACTTTTTATAGCAAATGAAGACCTCAAATATCACTTAACAAAAGATGTCTTTGAAGCTGGGTCCGTAGAAAGTGGCCACAATGTCTGCTTGCTGCAGATGATTTATTTTGCTACAAATTGAATGCAGAAAAGAGGACTCTGGGGGCCCGGGGTTTTAGCGATCTCGGCCTCAAAAAGAATTCCCGTAACCTCAGCACCATCCCACACTCCCCGCCTCAACTATGCACTGTGGAATGATGTTGTCCTTGGAGTAGATCCCCATCGGCTAGCACGTGGCCCTGGCGTGGGCTGGATGGTGACTTGTGCTCCTGTTTTAGATCTTAGAGTGAAGGAGACTCGTTCAGGAGTGCTTGAGAGTGTGGAGGCAGAGGGAGGGAATATAGGAAGGGAGAGGGGTAGGTTTTTTTCTTCTTAAAACTTATTTGAGATGTCCTCACATTTTAATCCCCATGCCCCCTCTCTGTTTGTGTGTGTGTCTCTGCCTGTCTGTCTCTCTCTCTGTCTGTCTGTCTCTCTCTGTCTGTCTCTCTGTCTGTCTGTCTCTGTCTGTCTGTCTTTCTCTCTGTCTCTGTCTCTGTCTGTCTGCCTGTCTCTCTCTCTCTCTCTCTCTCTCTCTCTCTCTCTCTCTCTCTCTCTCTCTCTCTCTCTCTCACACACACACACACACACACACCAAGGCCTGGATTTCCAAGCGTGCCTTCCCTGCTTCCATGAGGGAACCTCATGAGGTTCATGACCCATTCCCACCTCCCATCTTCCCAGCTTGCTGTTAGGGTGCAACCATGTTTCCCCACCTTGGTGTGTCGGAGCGTCAACACGCAGCCCATTAGAATGTGACCACAGTGGGGACAGGGCCCTTGAAGAAGCGGTGGCCATCAACCAGACAGGTAGACTCTAATACGGTGAGATCAGTGGCCTTGCAAGAGGAGCGCTGGCCGTTGTGTCGGTCAGAATGCGCTATGGAAACAGAATCAATAGAACACACGGGCGTTGCACGGGGATTTATCCAACTGCTCAAAGCAGTGCAGCCCGCATAGTCCAACAATGGCTGGAGGTACGGAGAGCCGGAGACCCCTCGTAGCTGTTAATTCACCAGGCTGGAGCCCTCAGCAGTCACCGTTTTCTGATGCCAGATGCCGCTCGTGGGAATCAAGATTCGCCAGACCCAGGACAGGTTGAAAAGTTTATTCAGAGAGAGAACACTTACTTACATAAGAGGCGGGTGGCTGCCCCAGCTTCCAGCTCCAAGGATCCTCCCAGGCTGTCTTCTGTGACCCGGCCAGCAGCAAGAGAGAGAGCGCGCCTCCCAGAGCCAACCTAAATCCTTCCCTCCTGTACGCACCTGTGACCATGCCCAAAAGGGTGTGGTCGGCGCCACAGGTGGGTACTTACATCTCTTTCTACAGCAGACCTAGGAGTTCCTGACGAGCTGTTGGTCTTGGGTCCTCCTTGGAAGACTGAAAAACACCCGACTTCTTTTCAGACCCCTATAACTGGACCACTGTCAAAAGTTGCTCTCCATTCTGGAGGGTCTCCCCACTTCGAGCTATCTTCCTAAGAAATCCAGCCCCTGCACACACCAGACCCTGCCCAGGCATATATTTGGCCATTGATTCAGTCAATCAAGTTGACAGCCAAGATTAACCGTGATAGCTCCTTAGAGAGGCACCAGGAATGGAAGAATAGCGATAGAAAAACATCAAGGAAACAGCAGGAGGACCAAGGAGAGAGGCCACAGAAGAGACTGGCCCTGCTGCACCTTGCTCTTGAACCTTCAGTCGTCTGGACTGTAAGACCGCAGCAGGGACAGAGCAGCACCGTTAAGACCAGGGACTTCTAGACCTCTCCTCCAGTGTCCACGACCTGCCTATAGACACGAGTGTTTTGAAACAATACTTGTTTTCAGTTGTGTGTGTTTGTCTGTGTGTGCTTGAGTGCAGAACCCACAGAGACCGGAAGAGGATGTCAGATCCCTTGGAGCTAGACTTCATAGGGTGGGTTGTGAAGGGCCTGGTATGAAATTGGGAGACAAGCTCTGGTCTCCTGGAAGAAAAACCAGGAAAAACCCAGGTGTTTTTCTCCACTGACCACAGAAATACTGAGGACAGAAACAGTGAGGACATAAATACTGAGGATATAAATGTGCCTCAAAAAGGGGAATATTTATATCTACCTTCAGGGCTCTCGTAAGAGCCATGGGTACCAAGCATGGGACATGGGACACAGGGACACATAGATGCCGCTGGCTAAGCCACCATGATGATCAGAATCACTGTCAAGAGCTCTCAGAGGCAGTTGGTTTACAGGCTGCATATGCATCTTTGCCAATTGGCATTCCATCCATGAACTGAACGACATTGTATTGAAAAATTTAGTGCTTGAGGCCACCTTGGGGATTTCTTTTCCCAGGGACACCAAGTGACCCAACTTTCAGAGTATGTTCACAGGATTTGCTACCTCTAAACAAACTCTCCCCTATTTACATCCACGGGCCTGCAGCCACCTGCTTACCATGCATGATGTTTGGATGTGAGATGTCCCCCACAAGCCCATGTCCCGCAGGCATTCTCCACAGCAGGCGCTACTGGGGAGGGTCTGGGAACTCTGGCTAGCGGCAAGAGGTCACTAGAGGCAGGCCTTGCGAGTTCTACCTGGCCCCTCCTTCCTGCCTGACTCTTGGCTTCCTGGTCGCTATGATGTCAACAGCCTGTGTCACATACTTCTGCTGCTGTCATCCAAGGTGGTGCGCTATCTCTCACCCTCCACGATAAATGGAGCCCTCTGAACCAGAAGCCAGAGTAAACCCTCCCTCCTCTTAAGCCATTCCGGCCATTATCTTGTCACACTAGCATAAAAATAATCAGGTGATCATTGTTACAAGAAGGCGGCATTTCTCAGTACTCAACTGACAGGACAAAGCTTTTCTGAAGGTCTGTGAATTATACCCCCGAGGCCGCCACCTGCATGCCAGGCCCTAATAATGCGCTCAGGGATGCCCTTTACCCTCCGCAGAGAAATAGCTTGTATTTGAGAGCCTATGACCCTGGTCTCTTACAGCTGCTCTTTGAGGTCCACCACAGGGCAATGCCACACACTAAGTTCCCATTCGTATGAGGCAGGGTTTCTGAGGACAGTGTGACCATCTGTTAAGGTTGATTTACACCATTCCCAACAGCCCTGGACCCTGAGCTACAGTTAGTCTTGGAAAAGGCCGGACACGGATCATGCTTGAAATCCGACTTCCAGTCAGATAAATTGAGATCTCCCCATACCTTCTCCCAGCCCACAATGCTACGGATGCCGGCCAAATGGCGATGCCGGCCAAACGGCACTTCCATCCCTCTGCATCTCACAGCCATGGCCATGGAACTCAGGCCCGGTAAGGTCACACGCACACCCCCAGGAATTATTTCAGATGGCTCTCGCCGTGCCAATGGGAGCTACGCGGCACACACGGAGACCAGAGAGGAGGTTGTAGAGCCGTTAGGGGACACGATGTCATGGTTAAGGAGTCTTCGCTTTCTTCCAGGACCCCATTTCTCTGAGTACGGTTCTAGACACATAAGATGTCCTCAGAGTGCGCTTGGTTGCTTGGGCTTAGCCTTGTGTACAGTATTACTCTCCTGGTTGATACTGGTTGTCAACTTGGCGGGATCTAGAATGGCCTGGGAGACAAGCCTCCATGCATGTCAGTAAGATTGAGAAACAGGAATCTCCGTCCTAATGGACAGCAAGGATTGAACCCTGGAACTGGGAGCCCACGTAGATCCTTTCTTCCGTGAGTTGCTTTGCTCAGGCTTCTTGGCACAGGAATCAGAAACATGACCAACGCAAGCACAGACACCTTCCTACTCAACGGGTCTAAGTCTTGGTTAAGCGGGCTGCTGCCTTTCAGAGTGCAATAGAGGACCCAGGCACGGCCCGCTGGAGTTTTAAGTGCTGGGAATGCTGGGAATGCTGGGAATGTTTTTACCAGTACTTCCACTCGGCCAAGCTCCTTTCTCCTCCAGGGTGACCCACCCTCCTTCTCCAGCTCCCTTCGCTATCACCGTCAGGGGCAGCGGGCCTGCCAGCACCATGGACACTTTAGACGCTGCCGTTCTGTTGGGATATAAGACACAGTCTTCTTTCGATGGGCTTCCAGCTCTGTCGGCAGAGTTTATCAACTTATCTGTGGTGTGTCTGTATCGGGTTCTGGGGACGCCGTGGCAGAGGCCCCCAGAGAAGGACACAATCCAGTCAGTACCTCAGAAAGTACCAACAGCGTGTGCTCAGTGAATGCCAGTGAGCGGCCTGCTGCAGCACCCAGGGAGAAAGCCGTTACTAAGTAGCAAAGATGTCCCCGGAGGCAGGTGGGGATCAGTCCTTTTGGGGGTCAAACAGACAGCCTAGGAGAGGTGGGCATCTATTTCTGATCAAGCCATGCTATCCGTGGTACTGTCGCACCGGGATTCACTGCTGATGTATCATCCCTAAAGGGGGACAGACAACCTCCAGTCAGAATCAGTGTCGGCTCTCAAAGAGGAGCTGGGAATATAATGTGTTAAAATTAGTGTTCTTTGTCCAAGATGGTCCTTTTTGCTCCTTAGTTACTCCTAGGCCATTCCAAAATTAGGATTTTTTTTTAAGTCAGATGTAGCTAAAGAGGGAAGATGTAGAGGTGTACATGGGATTGTCAGAAATGCCCCAGGGACACGGGGAATCCGTAAATGAGGTCTTGATCTTTAGGAAGAACCAATTCTCCCTCAGTATCTGAAGGAATTGGTTCCCAAACTCCTGTGGACACCAGAGTTCACAGTTGCTGAAGACCTTTTTATGTAGTGACTTACATATATCCTCTTGCATATTATAATTATGTTAACTGTTGGTAATGCCTTAATTATAACAGTCATAATGATAGTATATGTAATAATGTTACATTACAGTTATAATAATACAGTAACAGCCGGGTGGCGGTGGCACACACCTTTAATCCCAGCACTTGGGAGGCAGAGGCAGGCGGATCTCTGTGAGTTCGAGGCCAGGCTGGACCGACAGCCTCCAAAACAATACAGAGAAACGCTGTCTCATAAAACCAAAAAGAAAAAAAAAAGAAAGAAAGAAAGAAAAAGAAAAAATACAGTAACAAAGTCTATAAATATTCAATTCAGATGCAGTTTTCACCAAACATTTTCCACACATCCCTTGTTGAGTCTACATTACAGATACAGATGATGCAGATACAGATGATGCAGATACAGATGATGCAGATACAGATGATGCAGATACAGATGATACAGATACAGATACAGATACAGATACAGATACAGATACAGATACAGATACAGATACAGATACAGTGAGTCAATACTCACAGCATTCCGAAAAGTTGATCAGCTTGCCATACGCTTGCACGCCAGTGTTGTGCGCTGCAGAAGCCAAGCAGCCGGTCCAGGCAGGCATCCTGACCTCCCCGACCCCACGCATTGCACAACAGTTTGCTCTGAATAGAAACTTTCTCCCCAGGTGGAAGTAGGCGGCATGTAAGACTAAGGAAGCAAACAAACCTCAAATGTTTGGGAAACTTACAAGAGTCATGAGGGCTCCCTCTCCAAGATTGCAGACGCTGAGAGCACTTGCTGGGGGAGGAACCCGACCAGGAGACGGGAAGCAGGGGCTGAGCAGCAGAGGGAGGCTTGGATGTCCTGCGCTTCCTTTAGCCGTGCGTGCGAGGGCTTCAGCACTCGGGCTCTCTCTCAGGAGTCACAGCTGATGGGCTTCTCAGTGGTGCTGCTTTGGAGCCAACCCTGCCTCACCCAGATTCTTGTTAGGAACCCAAATAAACACTCATTGGTTCCTAAACTGGACTTCAGTGCAACTGTTACTCTGAACCATTATGGGTTCCCTCCCTGACCAGGTTCTGAGGGAGGTGTCGTGGACAGGGATATAACAGGAATCACAAGAGCTTCAGGATACGCAATATGAAACTGTGCACGGACAATGACCCCAAGTCAATCAAATGCTTTCCACCCGCCTCGGAAGGCGCAAAAGCTCAGGAAGCAGTGAACAGGGCAGGGGGTTGGTTGACACGACCTGGAATTTACAGACACATTAGTTCCTACCATCTGGAAAGCCAAGAGCTTGAATGGAATGCATGATCTGTTATTACAACTAACTTGTTTAACAATTAAAACTATGAACATTTCTGAATTTATATTTGTACCACATGTTTAAGATTAAAAGGAAAAAGTGCAGACACTGAAAACAGACATAAGAATGTTTGGGAAAAAACAGGAAAGAGAGAGAGAGAGAGAGAGAGAGAGAGAGAGAGAGAGAGATATCTCTCCACTAGGAGGCTATCACACCTGATCACAGATCACTGACTCTTTCTAAGCTAGATGCAAGACCCCTTCTCAACAAGCTTAACCAGACTCAGGACAAATATTTAAAGCAAACACCAAGAAAAACGTGTCTGGGTTTTATGATCCTACAGAACTCCGAGTCATCATGCTGCCTCAGGACCGGTTTGGGAAGCTGCCCAAATGCAGGATTTAAAGCAGAAGGCGCAAGGTGAAGCCAGGTAAGATGCGAGCAGACCCTAATGGGCTGATCAGACACTATGACCATAATTGGTCCCTGGGTTGACCAGGTCAATATCCATCCCAGAAGCCACTAGTTGTGAAACAACTGGACGAAAGAGTTGCTTTTCTGAGTAACCTAGCTGGTCAGTGATGCATTCTACACCTAAGAGACTGTTTTGTTCCTTTCGTAATCTTCAGGACTTCAAAGTTTTCTTCTACTAGCCTGAATTCAAGATACCACAACTGCCAACTGTCAGACCATCAGGGGATGTTTTCTAGTTGGTGTGTGTCTGGTGAAAGGAACGTGATTTGGGGGCACAGTTTTCCAGTGAACATCGAAAGCTTGGAGCATGTCACACCTCGACCCAACAGCCCGGCCCCTGTGTATCCATCCCAGAGACCACCACGGAAGGGTGTTCACTGCTGTGACATGGCACAAGGCATAGGTAGAAACAACCTCTGCTCAAACAATAGAATATAATCCCACAAATTAGGAGACACTCACACGAGAAAACACAGGTGTGGAATTATGCCATAGATGTGGACATTTAATGACACAAGAAATGCGTAGAATAGGATGGTAAACAGCAGTGACAAGGTCTCATCTCTGGACTATCCTCTGTTTCATTTATACAAATAAAATTAAAGAAGGACGTGGTCGAAATTCTAACAATGCTATTCACTAAGAACTACGGTTAAAGGCCATTTCTGTTTTCTCCTTTGTGCCTCTTGTGTTTTCTATAATGAACACGAACTGTTTGTCTTCGGGGTTTTTAAATATAGAGTTTGACAGGGTATTTGGTACACAATCCCTCCTCACTTTCTGATGCCAATTAGTCTCTAGCAATAACTCAGTAAACACTTCACCAACAAAGGGTCTTTCATCTGCCTGGCTCGGAATCTTTGGGAGCATGATTTTAATGATGTTGGGGGAGCTTTTAGATATGAGTCTTTCTTTTCGTCCAGATGGTTGGCAGGCTGTAGGTAGGGAGAGGGGAGCGTCACTAGAGGTGGCTTCTCTTGGCTGGAGGAAAGAGGAGCCAGAGCGGCTGGTGGGTCGATCGTCCCCTCTCTCTACCACAATGAGCTGCCATCAAGTTCCGCAGGGGGGAAAAAAAACCTGGCTGTTCAAAGAGGGGCCAGAGTGGCTGTCCAGCCACAAGGAGGGTCGCGGGCAATGCCTTTGTAAACAAAGCTTCAAAAGATAATTAGAGGGTCAGGGGCACTATTTCTGCATGCTGGCCATGGAAATGCCTCTCACCTCTTGTGGACAATCGGCCCTTTGCATCCCAGGATGCTAAAACGGGACTGCTACAGGACAAATAAAAGCAGTGAACCCTCGAAGTGCCTCCCGCCCTAAGACCCAAGCAATTAAAAAGGACAAATAACTAGTCTGTTGCTGGATCTGTACTGAATGTTATGAACAGCATGAAACCACAATGTTCCAGTTCGCCTTAGATAAGGGACAACAGTCTCCCAAACAAAGTGATCGGCAGCGATGATTTCAAAATGGGGTCTGGAATTCTCAGGGGGTTCTCTTTACACCTCTGTTAGACCGGCTCAATGTTGATGCCTCAGCTCTCCACAGAACATCTGTTCAAGGCCTCCCTGTTTAATTTAGGCTTCTTCTCAGTATGGCGGTTGAGTTCCAAGAGGAAATTTTGTAAGACAGTTGAGAAATAAGTACTCCCAGAGAACCAGCGGCACTCCATGGCCTTGCCCAGCGTCTCAGTTAGGGTTTCCGATGCTGCGAAGAGACACCATGACCAGGGCAACTCTAATAAAGCAAACATTTAATTGGGGTGACTTGATTATAGTTCAGAGGTTCAGTCCATTATGATCATGACGGGGAGCATGGCGGCGTGCAGGCAGATGCGGTGCTGGAATGGTATCTGGGAGTCCTATATCTTGCAGGCAACAGGAAGTCAACTGAGACACCGGGCATTCATTATTCTAAGCATAGGACACCTCAGAGCCTGCTGCCACAGGGACATGTCCTCCAACAAGGCCGTCAGAACTCCAACAAAGCCACAGCTCCTAACAATGCCACAGCCGGTGAGATTTAGGGGGCCAATTACATTCAAAACACCACACCCATCCTAGCTCTAAGCTGCAAGTCACCTCATCTCCTGCATTCTGTGGGCTATAGGCAAAGCCCGAGGCAAGCTCAGATTTAGCTGGAGGGAAACTGCAGAATCCCCTGGCAGAAGTCTCAACAAGCAGGGTTCAGGTGTCTGGTGCAAGCTGGCTGGCCACCAAGTCCCCCTTCCCAGCCCTGAAATTATGGGCGGGTGCTGCCACACCCAGTGTCTTATTCATGGGCACTAGGGACCCAGACTTAGGTCCTCACACTGTGTGACAAACTCTTTACAGCCTGAGCCACCACACCCCCCTTGGGGTGTTGATCAGGGCTGTGTCAGATTGGCATCACCAGACCTTCCAGCTTTTAGGAAAAACCCGCAGAACTCCAGAAGTTCCTGAAAACCCCTCCCTCCCCTCCACCCTCTGTCTCCCTCCTTCATTGGCAGCTGACTCCAAACCCTCGAAGAGCAGGCCTGAGCCATCAATGATCTAAAGTGACTTTCCCCACTAGGGTCCCCGAACTTCTGCAGCCCTGGGCATCTGTCCCTCCTTCAAGCGGTGGTGCTGTCTCCCGATAAAGACAAGGTTTCAACTTTGGGCACAGAAAGTGGGAGAAGACACAAGAAGCCACTCGGAGAAAGACAATGCGGGGGGCAAAAGGAAGAGACTGGTGGTTCTGGGCAGGAAGGGAACAGAATTCCCCAGGAGAGAAGAATTGCAGGGTGGGCAGAGGTCACATGTGTCTGGGAAGGAGTCCATGCTCTCCTTCTGAAGGGAGGAACAGAGGAGAGTACCGGGAGGTTAGCACAATGGGTAGAACACAGTCACCAGACTATGCACGAGGCATTAAGGAGATCCCCAAGCTCATGGTGATCCCACTTGGTATCACCTTCTTTGTGGCTCAGTCGGTGGGGGTTCCAGGAAACTCCTGACACTGGAACTGGAGGCAGAGAGCGCCGATAGCCCCGGGGTGGTGAGGGGCATACCAGACAGGCTCCGCTAGGGGGACAGATCCGGAACATTATGTATGTGTGATGAAACGGATGTATGAGGTTGGTGTGCATAGCAGGCACTCGTTCAGTCTGTCGGCGGTCATCTGCACACTGGTCAGTCTGTCGGCGGTCATCTGCACACTGGTCAGTCTGTCGGCGGTCATCTGCACACTGGTCAGTCTGTCGGCGGTCATCTGCACACTGGGGGAGCGTGAGAGGACAGTAGCAGCTCAAGCTGTGGGACTGGATCGCCTCTGCCATCCCGGTACGGTGATGACGTTCTGGAAGTTTCCTAGGGAGATCCTGGTCTTCAGTCCACGCTGGAAGGCTGAAGGAGCCGGAGTGTGGTATCAGCGGAGGTCAGCATCGGAAGCGACAGGTGTGCTTGGCTCCGGCCTCCACATGTGGCCACCTATTGGAAGGTGCTGCCCTCTCTGAGGCATGGCCTTCCTCCTCACGTACATGCCCAGAGGTTTGACTTCCAGGTGGTTCTCAATCTTCTCAGGCTGGCGAACAAGATTAGCCGCCGGTGGTGGGGGCTGCCCAAGGGAGGGAACGTCGGCCAGGAGCAGCCGGCTGGAAGCTCTCGGAGCGGACTGTCAGTCTTGCCGACGTGACTGGTTGACACTTAGTTTTGGAACATGCCTTCCCTGAGGCTTCAGAGCACTTCGTCTGCACTCAGCCTGATGTGATTTTACCATTTAGTCCTGCCTAGTGTGTGGTAAGACACTCATCCCCAGGACCAAGATACAAGAATAAAACACACTGAGGATTGGAGCCAAGGGAGCCAGTGGGTGGGTGTGATGGCTGGTCCTGACTATCGACTTGACTGCGTCTGGAATGAACTAGAACCCCAAAATGGAGGGGCACACCTGTGAGGGGGTTTTGCTTCATTTGAAGTGGGAAGACTAATCTGGATCTTGGATGTGGGCCTGGTCCCGTCCACCTTTTATCTGGACACACCATCTGCAGGCAGTCTCTAACAACATGGAAGAAGGAAGCTCTTGCTCTCCCTAGCTAGCCCCTCCCTTCACTGGCATTAGAGCTCACTTCTTTGGGATTCTAGTATACACTGAAGACCAGCTGAGACATCCAGGCTCTTGGGCTAAACAATACTAGATTCTCGGATCTTCTGTTGGTAGACAGTCATTGTTGGGTAAGCTGGACCACACGGACTGTAAGTCATCCTAATAGATCATGTATCTATGGGAT